AAAAGCATTTCCCAGTCCTTCCTTCCTTCCTTCTTTTTTTTTCTTCCAATTTTTTAAAAAGAGAAATAGCATTCCATTGGTCACTTTTAATCATAAGATCACATTTAACTTCTGGGGGAAAGAGGAAGTGAAACCCTCTCTCGTCCCTGAGGAGGTAAAGGAGAACCTACCAGAACCTCCAGAATCATGATCTCCACTTGAGAGCTGAAAACACTCAGACTCCACAAAGGCCTTTTCCAAAGTCAGGCAGTTAGGAAGTCAGCAGAGCAAGGTTCCAGGTGTGCATTTCTTTGACTATGAAACACATCTGGTTTCCACAGCGGGGCGGCCTCCTCTTCTGGAAACCATGACTTTGAAGGTGGTGCTTATTAGCATCAAGGGACTTCAGATGCTGCCCAGAAAAGTTTGACCTTCCAATTAAATTTAATCTGTGAAAATTGTTTCTTTTCTCTCTCCTTTTGCAAAACCTGTATCTAGGAAGGAAAAAAAAAGGAGGAAGGAGGAAAGAAGGAAAGAAAAATGGAAGGAATTAAGGAAGGAAGGAAGGAGAGAGAAAAAGAAAGAAAGAAAGAAAGAGAAAGAAAGAGAGAGAGAGGAAGAAAGAAAGAAAGAAGAAAAGGAAAGGTCAAGTCAAGACCAGCCTGTGGGGCACCCTTTGACCCGTACTATATCTGACTGCATGTCAGGGCAATGTGGGTTTTTTCCCATTGTGAGGTATTTTCCACTCACAGAACCAGGTCAGAAGTCTGTATCTTAATCTGCATGCTTGTTCTTGCTCATGTTTGTTTTCTGTTTGATCTTGTGCCCCTCATTCACCCTTCGTCATGTTCCCATGACAACAGAAGAATGATAACACAGCCAGGCAGACCGAAGGGACGGAGGGACCAGGCCTACAGCCCAATGCCCTGCAGACTGAGAGTGCTGAGCAGGGAGGCCGAGGGCAGAGGGGGTCTCCACCCACTTCTGCACTCGAGAGGTCTGGCCGTGAGTGAGGGTCGGGCCTACTCTGAGGCGGCCAAGTGGGCTCAACTATGTCCAGTGATTGCTCAAGGTCACATGGCTGGAACTCAGATTAAAACCAACTGCTGTTATTTTTTTTCCTGAATTACAGCTTTTCTTTCTGTCCATTCTGTTCTGCCACCTTCCACATGCCCTCCTGCTCCTACGAAGCCTGCCTGATGCACACTAGATGATGCAAAGGACTGTCCCCTGTCTGATGACATCCACCTGCCCATGGCTTCTCCCACAGACAGGAAGAGGTGGACCCGTTACTACGGCAACAAGCAGTGAGGTGATGACACTACGCTCAGGCTGCCAGCCCTGCAGGTGGGAGTTCTCCCAGTACTTTAGAACTCAGCACTTCGGGCTTCTGTGCTTCCTGAACAAATCCACGATCTTCAGAGGAAGAACTCTGGAAAGGGGCAGGATTATGGAAAGACATGAGTAGTTGGAGAAACCTAAGTCCATACCACTGGGATGAGTCTCAGGATAAGCCAGTGAGGGAGACACAGCAATACTTTTAACCCCAAAGGAAAAAAAAAAAACTTGATTAGATGCTGGTGGCCGTAGTCACCTATAATCCCATCACTCTGAGAGGCTGAGGCAGGAGGATCTCAAATTTGAGCCTAGCCTGGGCAACTTAGTGACTCAGTAAGATCATGTCTCAAAATAAAAAATAAAAAAGTGTGGGGGGTGTGACTCAGTGCAAGGGACCATGGTTCAGTACCCACTACCACTAAAAACACAGCTTCAAGCAGGGCCTAAGATGCTCAGCTTCAGTGTCTTATTCGAAATTCAAGATTCTTTTAGTAGTTTTGATATCTATTTTTGACAGTGTGACCCTCTCCCCCTCCCTGGTTTTTTCCTCCCATGAACTTAGGAGGGGGAGCACAATGGGGTAGGGAGGCTCAGAGAAATAGCTCCAAGTCTGCTAGGTGAGTCCCAGCTTTCGGTGTCCACCTCTTCACAGTGTGAATATATGTGACTCGTGGTTAGCTCAGCCTCCATCTTCCTTTTCTTTCTTTTTCTTTTTCTCTTTTTATTTTCTTTGAGACAAGATTTTGCTATAAAGCACAGGTTGGCCTCAAACTTGCATCCAGTCCTCCTGCCTCATCCTCCTGAGTGCTGAGATTGCAGATGTGCACCACCATGCCTGGCTTCATCTTATCTGAGTAAGAGAAAATGTTCGCTTCTCCTCTAGACCCCCTTTCCCTAGAAGAGGGAAAGATGGACTTAGGAAGAAGCTGGCCGTGGACAGTAGTCTGGTAGCTTTTGCACTGGCACCTAACTCGAGGTGTTCAGAGGCACTCCAGGTCACCCCACACCCAGGTGCTGTCTGGGCTCCCCCAGACCAGAGCACACAGCAGCTGGGCCAGTGAGACAGGGCTGTGGGATGTTTCCTTGAGGAGCTATGATGTGCTACCCTCGTTGCGTGGTAACCCTGTACATTACAGGGAATGAAAGAAGCTATTTCAAATGCAGCTTGAAATTTTTTCAAAGGGAAGCCACATACTTCTCTGTGTATGTCATCTCTTCCCAGATGGCTCCAAAATGAGCCATGTAATTTCCCTGTTGCAGCATTTCTGAGAGAGATTCACAGATCTGAGAGCTGAAGGGGTTTCAGAAGATGCTGGGAACTGGTTCCTTTTCTTCTAACAGGTGTGACTATGTTCCCATTTTATAGATGAGGTGACCACTTCCGGGGCTGCTGATGTCTACAGTGACATAGCCAGAGAATGATGCTGTTGTAGTGTTTGGGGCACCCTCCACCTTCTTCTCTTACACCGTCATCACAGGGAGAGGTGTGAACAGAAACACTGAAGGGGAGAAAGGACGGTGAGACCCATGAGAAGCTAGGTGACCGAGTCTGGAGAGCTGTCTCCACCAGCACATAATAGGTGCTTTATGCACTGATGGTGCTACTGGTCCGGAGCCCTTGGAACTTTTTTCTCAGTCCTTGGTGTCCCAAACCAAAAATTGAACTAGATACACAGAAAATGTGTTAGCGAAGGTGCACATTTATTGAAGATGGAGAAGAGGTTCACTCTACAGGGCAAGATTGGGCTGGTGGAAAGGTTCATAGGGGCCTGAGGATGAAGGAAAGGGGAGTCTTTAGCATCCAGAATTCCCAAGTTGTCCTTCACCTCATGCAAATAAGGCATTAGGACAGTGACCCTATCAAAACCTCACTTGGCCTCAGGCCAGGTATAAACTGTCCTATGGAAAAACTCACTTGGCCTAGCCAGATATAAATGAAAGATCAGAATGGTGTCTTTTGATTGGTTGTGCTCACATGCAAATGAAGAATTGAAAAGGGCATCTTCCGATTGGTCCTGGGAACATCACCACATTCAGGTGAGGGATTGAAAACAGCACTTTTCTGATTGGTCCACAGTGCTCAGCTGTAAGCATGACATCATTTTGAGTCGCAAGGTTTGTGCATGTCCTCTGTTTTTAGGAAACATCACTCAACATCCTAGCCATGGGTTTTTATGACTTTTGACACATTCCACCCAGCTGGGTGTCTAGTTTGCCCCAGCCCTAATCTCCCACCTCACAGAGAGGCAAGATGGAGGTCAGGGAGCACTTAGTTCACTGTTTATACACAGACTAGCTGCCCAGTGATCATCGGCTATGCCGTATCTCTGAGCCCTTACGAAAATGAATTCTTTCAGCAGCCGGTTTGCTGAAGAGGGAAAATTGCTAAGAAGCTGAGGTGACAGCAGTTTCAGGCGCACTCTAAGCTGATTAGCTTCAAACACAGACACTGCTTCCTGGTGGAGACCCCTGACCCTGCAGCCGTCTTGAGGGATTCCCGTCCGGTCACAGGAGGTACCAGGCTGCGGCAGCATGTGCAGGGCTGCAGGACAAGACCTTATCAGGAGAGTCTCCCAGGAAGCAGAGCAAGGGAAACACAGGGCATTCCTTTAGGATGATGGATTTGTTTTATTTTCTATTAATTTTTTTCATTACAAGAGAATTGTGGAATGATGTTTTGTACGACTTTTTTTTTTAATCTCGAAGGGGACTTGTTTCTCTCTCAGTGGGAAAATGCGGTTCTGATTGTGTCAGCCTCAGCTTTAACCCCCTCAGAAGCTTCCTCTTGCTCATGTGAAAGCAACATACAACTCATAGCCGTGGCAGCTAGCACTGCTGACATTGAATGGATCCACATACCACAGCCATCTCAATTGTTTAAAAACAAGATGCTCCAGTGTCTGTCAGTTAACGGTCACCACCCTCTGGGGATCCCAGAGATGCCCTGACTCAGGATTGAGAACAGCGGGGGCTCCAGGGGCCCGCTCCAGCCTGAACCTTGTGTCTGCTCTGGTGGGACAGCCCAGTGCCTCTGCGGCTGTCACTTGCTTGTTAACTATGCCAAGAAGTCCCTGCCCGAGCCACCTAGCCACCCCTGCCTGGCTTCCTGTCTGTCTGTCTCTCTCTCTCTCTCTCTCTCTCTGCCTCCTAGCCCTGAACACACAGCTTTCCCCCTCTCTCAGAGCCTCTGCAAGCCGCTTCCTTCTGCCCAGAGTGGGCTGTCACACCGTCCCCCTTTTCTTTTGGCTAACATTTCTCAGTTGACATCAGTAAACAGAGACTGGATGCACAGACGAGTGACTCATTTGTCTCTTCTGAGAGGTGCAAGCATTTGCAAATGGATGTATTCCCCAGATAGCCCTGGTCCTCACCTGAGAGTCCCTGTCACCTTCCTTGCTGCTCAGAGCTGCTACCAAAGGATTCCTCTTGGCTGTTAACACACAGAGGGGAAGAGGAATAATCTGAATATTTGGAATTCCAAAAGTTGTGTTGTACCAGGTAGCATGAACTTTCCTATCTCTCCTGACTGGATGTGGGGTGAGAAACGGGATGAGAATGAGAGCAAAGCAAGAAAGGGAAGGAGAATGAGATCAACTCAAATGTGCCTGAGGAATCCAGCCACCTTATGGGAATCGTGGCATTTGCTCTAAAAAACATTTTGCTTATGTCCTCAGAGTTTGTGGCTGCAGATTATTTATTCTCTGCCCGGTCATTGGTTACAGGTCAAGTAGGAGCCAGCCCCAGGCAGGGGCATGGACTCATCAGTAGGTCAATGTCTCAGATCCCTGGAGGAGAAAGAAAAAGAATTGAGTTAAAGAGGCCAGCAGGGGAGGGAATTGACCCCAAGACACTTAGAAACAATTTGAAAATGGCAACAACAAGTTTATCAGCTCTCAAGGAATTTGGGGTTTTGTTTACCATGTTTCCCTTGTTTATTCATTTATTGAGCACCCACTTACCTTGACTTTACAGCCTACATAAGTTTACAACCAAGAAACAAAAGGAATGATTTTACAAGCATTGTGATGAATCCTGGTACCTCAACTGGAGCCTGAAATTAGAGGGTTTGGATGGATGTCTGCTTTCTTTCCACCTCCAAAGTCTAGCAAGAGTGGGGGATAATGTGGCGCTTTCCTTCCCTGCTGGGGCACAGCCCCCTGAAGTGCCACCAAGATGAAAACACTCCTGTGTATGTGTGTGTGTGTGTGTGTGTGTGTGTGTGTGTGTCCAGAGTTTACAGCAGTGTTTTCCAAAGTGCAGATTTTGGAACACTGGTCCCAAGAAACGTTCTGCTGGCAGAAATGTGCACACATGTGTGGGAAATGCTGCGCTCTCTCTCCCCTCTCCAGCAAGCAATTGCTGCGCTTCTCCACAGTGACTGCGGAGCTGGTTCCACATTGAAGCCCACAGGAATCTGGCTCCAGCTCCAATTGCATGGGCTCTGGGAGCTCTGTGGATGTGGTGTGCAGAGGGTAGGTGGGGCAGCAGAAGTCTTTTGTAAGGTGACTTGTCATTTCCCACCCCAGCCAGGGGGACAGAGTGCAGAGGCCACAGCTAATCATCGATGCCTAATTATACTGGGACAGCAGGTATATGCTAAGGCTCTCCTATGTACACAGAGCTGACACACAACAGGGAATAGATGCTTTGCCTGTCATTTTCTGAGCCACCTCTAGGACCAAGCAGACTCCTACACCCACACACATTTGGATAAAAAGAGATGTGTAACATGGCTGAGAGATTGCAAACATGCTGTTTTAACACGTATATTCACCAGGGCTCCTATATAATGCAAATATCCCGTGGTTTACAGTAAGTACAGTCTTGACTTTCATTAAAGAGACCATTTTGTGATGTACAAACAAAATGGTCAAAGCAATTGGGCTGAGTTTGAAGTAGATCAGAAGTAGCTCTGTGGGGCCAGCCTAGGTCAAGTTTGGTCAAGAATACTTATCCTGGGCCAGGGATTTAGCTCAGTGGTGCCACCACCTGCCTCACAAGCGCAAGGTCCCGAGTTCGATCCCCGGTACCAAAAAAAATAAAAAAATAAAAAGAATACTTGTCCTTTGGTGATGTGAGATGTTAACATTAGTGGGAGTGGATAAAAGGAAACTCTCTGTACTAGTTTTTGTAACTGACAAGTCTAAAACTCATTCAAAAATATAAATAAATATATAAATAAACAAACAAACTCATACCCTTTGCTTCATACTACATTGCTTCTTATGAACTTGGCTCATCCTTTAAGATTAGCTGAGCAAAAGCCAGGAGGGTGAGGCAGGAGGATTGCTGTGAGTTCAAGGCCACTCTGAGCTGCATAGCAAGACCCTGACTCAAAAAACCAAAAAGAAAGTAAGAAAGATAGATGAGCTGAGCAGAATGTCCCAGATTTGGTTTTGCGGTGGGCGTCACTCCTGTCAGTCCCCAAGTATTTCTGCACATTCCCTAGTTATATCTGCCACCTAGAGTATGAGTTCCTGACTAACTCATCTTTCTTACCTTACTCCGAGACTCTAACCCTTCTTTAGACTGGAATGTTTTCTCCATTTCACCTAGCACCAAAGCCACTCCTAGCTCTCAATTCATGTCTCTTAAATGAATTAATAAATCCATTCAGTTTGAACAAGGATTTATTAATTTGTTTTTTGGATTTTTAAAATTATGGTAAAAAACACTACCATGACTTTTTTCATTTTAACTTCAAAAATTTTATTTATTTTTGTTGTGTTGGGGATTGAACCTAAGGCTTTGTACATGCTAGGTGAACACTCTACCACTGAGCAGCATGCTCAGCCTTTCTATTTTATTTTCATTTTATTATTATTATTATTATTATTATTATTATTTGTTGTTGTTGTTGTTGTTGTACTTAGAATTG